AAAGAGTGGATTATGGATTCAGGTTGCACTTGGAACATGACTCCAAACAGAGAATTGTTCGAGGAGTTATGTGATCAAGATGGTGGATCAGTGCTACTGGGAAACAACAAAGCTTGCAAAGCTGTAGGTATTAGATCTGTGAGATTCAAGCTCCATGATGATTCAATAAGGTTATTAAATGAATTCAAGTATGTACCTGATTTGAAGAAAAATTTGATTTCTCTTGGTGAATTCGACAGAAAGGGGTATGTTTTTCAAGGAGAGAAAAATATCCTAAGAGTCATGAAGGGGTTAAAGGAAGTCTTGAGAGGCGTGAAGAAACAAGGCTTGTATACCCTTGAGGCTGAGGTTTTAAGTGGTTCGATAAATGTTGCATCCATGAAACCTGTGTCGAAGATAAAACTATGGCACATGAGATTGGGCCATGCCAGCGAAATAGGCTTGGTCGAATTGGGGAAGCAGAACCTTCTAGGTGGTGACAAAGTCTAAAAGTTGGAGTTTTGTGAATCTTGTGTATTTGGTAAATCCTGTAGGGAGAAGTTTAACAAAGGCGAGCAAAGAACACATGGATCCCTGGATTACATTCATTCTGATCTTTGGAGGGCCTACAGGGAATCCTTCACACTCAGGTGCAAGGTATTTTTTTATCCATCATTGATGACTATTCTAGAAAGCTATGGGTATTCATTCAGAAGACGAAGGATGAAACTTTTGAGAATTTCAAAAGTTGGAAGATTCTGGTCAAAACTCAAACTGGAAGAAAGGTTAAGAGATTGAGAATCGACAATGGCTTTGAGTTTTTCAACGAAGTGTTCGACAGTTATTGTGTTGAGTCTGGGATTGCAAGGAATAATACTGTAGCAGGTACTCCTCAACAAAATGGCTTAGCTGAGAGATTCAATCGAACAATCCTTGAAAGAGTCAGATGCATGTTAGTTAGTGATGGATTAAAGAAGGTGTTTTGGGCAGAGGCTGTTTTGACAATAACTTATCTGATAAATAGATGTCCCTCGACTGCCTTGGGAATGAAGACACCTAAAGAAGTTTGGTCGGGACATCTACCTAGTCTCGACAGACTGAGAGTATTTGGTTGCATGGTCTATACTCTCATTAGGTAAGACAAAGTCGAACCTAGAGCTCTAAAATGCATGTTCATGGGATACCCTGAAGTCAAAGCTTATAGGCTATGGTGCCTAGATCCAGGTCATAAGAGGTGTATCGCCAGTCGAGATGTAGTTTTCAATGAAGCAGAGATGACTTTTAAGACAACTGATGATGCTGACGAAGCGCTGGAACATGGAGAATTTCCTGTTAAGGTATAACATGTTGATGCTGAATTATGTATCCCAGATGAAGTCGAAGAAGACACAAAAGATGTTGTTGAAGACGAGGAGACTGATAATGACTACCTGCTAGCAAGAGACAGGCTGAGGAGAGTCATCATACCACCTCAGAGACTTGGGTATGTAGACCTTATAGCTTATGCCTTAATCTCTACAAGTGAGGTTCTAGACAAAGAACCTAGAGACTATAAGGAGGTTATGAGGAGTCAAAAGAAGATTGAATGGCTGAAGGCCATGAATGATGGAATGAAATCTCTTCATAACAAAAACACTTGGAAACTGATCAAGAAACCTACTGGAGCTAGGTTAGTCAGCTGTAAATGGATTTTCAAAGTTAAGGAAGGAATCGAAGGAGTGGCGTCGAAGAGATACAAGGCAAGATTGGCCGCTAAGGGGTTCACTCAGAAAGAAGGTGTCGACTTTAATGATGTGTTCTTTTCTGTTGTGAAGCACAAATCCATTCAAATTTTGCTTGCCATAGTGGCACAGTTCGACCTTGAACTAGAACATATGGATGTGAAGACTGCATTCTTGTATGGTGATCTAGATGAAATAATCCTGATGAGGCAACCTAAAAGGTATGTTGAAAAAGGGAATGAAGATTATGTGTGCAAGATGAAGTGATCTTTATATGGACTGAAATAATCTCCTCGACATTGGAATAGGAGATTCGACAAGTTTATACACACACAAGTTTCATTAGAAGTCAGTTCGACCACTGTGTTTACTTCAGATTTCGACCTGGTAATTCATTTGTTATTTTGTTGCTTTATGTGGATGATATTCTAATAGCAAGCAAGAATGTCAAAGATGTAATGAGGGTGATGTCGCGGTGAAATTTGGATACCAAACTATTAATTAGTTTGAATCTTTAATTCAATTTGAAACCGATCTTTGATTTGTCCAAAGGAAGGGATAAATAACGAAATTCCCACAATGTAATGCAAATGTAAGGTTAGATTGTTTAGGTTCGGAGGTTGGTTAAACTTAGGGAAGGTACTAGCATCCTAAATTTCTGTAGTACTCTACAGGAACCTCTTGTTTTAATGTTGTTTATTGCTAAGTTATTTGCTTAAGGTAAATGTTAAGGGTTAAAGAGGTAAATAGAAAGACCTAAGGGGGTTAGTCCTAAGTATACTCGATAAGATATCGCATCTTATGCCTACATATCCTTACGGGAGTGGAATCAGAGTATCTGTAGTTCCCCTAAAGGGTTTGAGGAGATCTTTGACTGTGGTCAAAGTTCCTGCGGGTTTAGGGTAGTTGTTTTGATTGAGTTTAGGAGAAAAAATGCGTTGTCATTTTAAGAGAGGTTTAACCGCCACAAATGTAAGAAGTTGTATTGTTGTGGGGTGGAGATTCTATCTCACTTAAGATGATTAACATCTTTCTCTAATGTGTTTGAATAATTGTATTGTGTTGATTGTTTTTGTCTAAGTTGTAAAGAGAGACAAAGTCCTTCCTATGGGGTAGGATCTATCTTAAGCGATAAACTTGAATGGGATCAAGAATCAAGGGGGTTTATGATGCAAATGAGATGCGATACACACAAGTGTTAAGTCATGTGTAGGTTCTTCCTTTGGACGAAATGTAGTGCAGAAAATGTAAATGCAGAAATGTAAAGTTACGAATAAAGTAAAGGCAGATAAATAAACATACATGTACGCATGAAAGCGCTGAAGTGTGTGAGAGTGAATGTGGGTGTGCACGATTAGGTTGTATTTTACGCTGTTGATTGCTTTTTTTGGCGAGGTTGAATTGAGGGAGAATATTGTATTAGTTTTACGTGAAATTGGTTTTAGGTGATGTTAAATTAGGAGAGGTTTGGTTTTAAGAAAATATGGATTTATTTTATTAGATAAGAGTTAAGGATTATGAATTAAGCTTTTTGAATAAAATGATTGTTAAGCAAATGTTGATTATTATTTATTGAATAAGGTTTTTATTATTTATCTTATAAAATTAATTTAAGTGAAATGGTTTATTATAATTAAAAGTTATGGTTATTATTAAAAGTTAATTTAAAATTACATTGGTTACGAAATAAATAAAAAGTTGTTTTATCATTTGTTTCTAAAAATTATTTAAATACTAAATGAGTTTCATTATTGACTATAGATAAATTGGCAATTATTTATAAAAGATTTTTTTTAGTGAATAAGTATTTATTAAAAATGTTGTCAAGTTGATTTAAAAAGTTAATTAATCAATAAAACGATTTTAAACTTGAATTAAATAGGTTTTTTTTTAGTTATTAAAATAAAAGAGTTAAAGGTGTAGACAGATAATTATTAAATAAATAAATAGTTATAAGATAACAAATATCAATTAAGTTGTTTTTTTTATTAAAAAAACTAATTAAAAACAATGGTTAATAAAAAATAAATATTAGTTATTAGAGGCTGATTATTAAAACAAAAATTAATTAAGTTAATTAATTAAAAAAGTGATTAAATAATTACTGTAGATTAAAGGGTTAATTAAGCGAGGATTAGTTAGTATTGTGGTGATTGTGTGATTAGTGAGTATGGTGAGTGATTACAACATAAACAAAAGATTAACAATCAGAGAAATTGAATGAACCCTAATTCCCCTTTCACCCCCAAATCGCCTGCTTCTCGATCCCTCCTTCTCTCTCAGCTCGCAATCGATTCCTTTCATCCATCACCTCCATTCATTTTCGGACCTGAAATCAAATCGAAAACGTCAGTAGTTCCATAACAGTGATAAGAACAGAAGCTTACCGAACGTTGGCGACGGCGGCGTTTGAGATGGCGAAAACGGATGCTCCGTCGGTTGAACTCACGGTGGCTGGGAATAGCTCCTTCATCGGAAAAGATGAGTCTTTTCTTCTCAATTTACTAGGTCTACGATGGTGATTTTTGACGTCTTCGATAGTTTTCGATCTTTGAACCCTTTCTCTTTAGCCTCCTTTTATAGGTCTCGATTTGGGCCTCTCTGATCCAATTAAGTTAGTCTTGAATGCTGATTTGGATTTATGAATCAAAATTTGAAAACTTTCTCTTTTTGTTGATTGGAATGAGACACCATGTTAATGAGAGTTACTCCTTTTCCTTTTTGGTTTGATCTTGTTTGAAACATGTTGGGATTTATTTGGAAGGGGTTAGAATTGGTTTTATTATGGATTGAATATTGCCTCTTTCTGACTCATTCTGTCCGATTTTGTTGTAGGTCCACCAATTTGGTACCAACGGTATTCAATGTTGTTCTTATGGGATTCGTACTGGACTTCCACTTCTTCTATCTGTGTAGCAAAGCAGCGCCGATTTGGCCATGATGAAGTATGGAACGAAGTTGAAGAAGACATAAAGAATCATCCCTGTGTTAGCAGCAAGATTGCGCTGGCAGAGACCTTCAAAGTTATCGCATATCCCTGACGTCTTCTACATAGGCCTCGTTGTAGTCCCTTAAAAGTAAGTTTCACACCTGAGCAAGGTTGTACGCACTGAACTAATCGTGGTTGTAGATACTGCATCCTCCAAATTATGAACTTGGTGACCATCTGCTAGGAACAAATATAATTTCCCCTACTTCGTGTGCATTCTAACCAGATAACCTCTCCTTCCTTTACATCAGAAGAGAAATTTGTAACTTGTTTCTCATATCCAGCTTTCTTCAAGTGGAAATTCATCCATTTCAATAAAACTTGTCAGGTGGTAAGCTGATAAGCTCCTCCACATCCTTATCATCTTCCACTAATTCCAAGAGTTGAGGAGTTTTCTTCAGATTCAGGTCGGCTAACAATTGAATCTTGATTATTTGTGAAATCAGACCATGTATCAAATAAGGTCTTCCTTCAACCATATCCTGAGTACCAATATTAACCACTGTGCACCCAATAGCCTTTGCTGAATTGAGGCCAAGGGTGTGATTTTCATTTCTCTCCCATGGATTAAGATTCCGTTTTGTATTAATAGCTCGCTCATATATGGTCCCAGGAACAGCGATATTAATAAGCTTGCAGAGCAGAACTCCGTCTTTAGCAAGATCAAACAATGCATTTGCAGCTGGATCAATTGGAAGAAATTGCTTCATGAATTTATCTTCAACCAAGTAACTGTTAATATGTGCAACATAAGAAGCCTTCTCAGATTCATTAATTGCATGATGAATAGTCGTTGCGGCTGCCTTCCAAAATGAAGAAGAACTTTTTGAACCACCATCTTTTGCTATAGTTCGAGCCTGCAAATTTAAATGTGCCCTAAGGAAGGACTCAAAGGCAATTTCATCATCCATGCTCTGATATGACTCTGCCAATACATCCTTAATTTCATCCTTGGTAAAAAGCTCAGAGGAACCCTTCAATTTCTTGAAAACATGTGGCAAATCTCCCACAGTAGCACGTCCCGACAGAGTTCTTTGGGATACATATTTCGATTTGAGTGTCCGAAGTTCGACTTGGGTGAACTGGCTCTGAAGCCATTGATCAGAAACAAGGACACCCACAAAGCTAGACATGCTGAATTTTGGTTGAGGAAAATGATCAAACAGTTGGAAGAACACTTATGGGTTCAGATTGAAAAGGCTATCATTTTTGCGCAAAAAGGGAACGAAAGAAAGAAGTGTGTTTGTTTGTAGGAAAGTGTGAAATGGGGTGTTGATGCTTCAAACACGGAGGAAACTCAATCTTCTTGCTGTTGTGCTTGGTTTGTACGGGTTTGCAATAACATGTTTGAGGGAGTTTTCTTCCCTTGTTGGATTTATGTTGGAACCAGTGCCATCTTGAGATAGAAGTGCATACTGTAACCATTCTGCCCATTTTAAAATGTAAGTGTTGATTTTGCTCGGAGAAAAAAAACATGGTTGTTATGATTCTGCAAATTCCTTTGGAAAGAACTACACCACTGTTAATACGTTCTTATAAAACAAAACTGAATCTACCTTGGTTTTGACATGGTTTGGGCTGCTTAGAAATGATGATGTTATTTGTAGCAGCTATTTATTTTTAAATGCATACTGCTGACTTCTATTATTTTTGTAGAAATTTCCAAGAACGTTGCGGGATTAAACTGAGTTCGAGATGCAACAATGGGCAGGGGTAGCATTGATTTGCTCATAATACTAAATCTACAAAAATGCCGGTAGACTACTGGTGTTCTATCCGAAGTCGACGGTGCAAAAGCTCGAGCTTTGAGGTAACCGAGTAGTGCAGAAGGTTCCGTCGCGTTATTATCACCGAGAAGTTCATTTCAACCAGGAAATGGAAGCATAGCATCACCTTTTTAAGGGAATGGCATAAAGTTGCGAAAGCATGTGGAGATAACACCATTAGATCATAAGTGTTAAAAGTCACACTCATTTGTGGCATTTTAATGCCTGCCTCAACTGTGCGGACGCAAATGGATGCATATTGCTCAATGTAGCATTAAAAGGTTCTTCATGAATGGCAGCACATGTTTGTAAGTTATCTCTCACAGAATCCTTAAATGACAGCTGATTTATATGGTCTGAATATCTGATCTGTCTTTCTGAACTTTTTACCAGGAATGGTGCCCTCGCCGTGAGATGCACTGGAGCGTTTGTGGCGGAGATTCAGAGTATAAGTTAAACTCTCAACATGTACTTACTTGATGACCGTACATGTTCGATCTTATGCCGACTTGTTATTGTCTGGTTCATAGTGTCATGCATTGTGTCAATGGATTGATCAAATTTGCCAATTCCTTTTTTTTTTGCAGGGATTAGTGTATTTCGTAGAATCATCGCGATGGCCTGCATATCAACATCTCTTGATGCCGTACGTAAAAAGCTGGAATTTAGACCAATGATTTGCTTACTTAATTAATTTCTTGTATTAGTATGAAGTTATTGTGTCGTCATTTGCAGGAATTGCCATAACGTATGCCATGAAGAATGACGCCTATGCTGGTACAGTGAAGCAAAACTATGTCAACATTTTATCTGTGGTATCTGTAATGATGCTCCTGAAGATGCTATTGTTTTTGGTCATGTTTTCGGTAATCAGTGCATCTGCGAACACCTAACTGGCAAGGATAATCAGTGCCCTGCTACAAACTGCGAAACTTGGCTTAGCATGCCTTTAGTGTTTCCAAAGCCACACTGAACAGTTCTTTGCTTGGTTACTCTGGTTTTAATTCTGGAATATATTAATCACTGCATCATGCGATTTCTGATTCTGATCCCCGTTTGTGGTGGTAGGTTTTGGTTTGCGGTCTGTGCCGAGATCAAGTCCGGAAGGAATTTACGCAACAAGAGGAAATGGTGTTGCGACGGTTACACCATATTGGGAGGCTTTTTCGAGATCAATTACCGACAGCAACTAGTGTTTCTTCATGACCATTTCGGTAAGCCATGTCGGTGTTATCGCTTTTGCGAAAATGAGGTGTCGGCACAACAGAAGAGTCGCCACCTTTCGTTATTTATCCCTCAGAGCGGGAAAGGAAACGATCGGAAAAACCTGACGAAAAAGGGTAAGACAAGGTCATCGCAACCATTGTCTGGGTTCGGGAGTCGGTTACGCAAGGGGAAGGTATTAGCACCCCTCACGTCCGTCGTACTCGACGGGATCCTCGCTTGTTGTGTTTACTTGGACGGGTTGGTTATAATCTATCTACCTATCAAGGCTGGCTGAAAAAGAAAAGAAAAATGACTCGGCAAAGCGTCGCACTTTATGCCTACGTATTCTCATCAGAGAATGAGAAATCAGAGTCAACGTAGTTCGGCCTACGAAGGATTATGGGGGAAGGTAGCTCGCCAAGACTTCTCCATCTTGTGCCTATGTACTCTCAACAGGCATGAGAGATCAGAGCATACGTAGTTCGGGAAACTACGGTTTATTTCCTGTTTTTTACGAAAGAAGTGTCTTTTATTGTGTTTGCGATTTCAACTGCACTAGAGACTATGACCTGAGAGTGAATGCGTCGCATGTCACCCAAAGGGTACCATACTAAACATCCAGACTGCGGAAAAGATACTCTCCCACAATCCTTTCTCAGATAGCTTAAGGCTCGTAATGTACGAAAGAAATCATTCATGGTTACTGTATCTTAAACTGTTTTGAGATGAGAAGAGAACAGGCCCAACTAGGAGGGAGACTATCAAGTCCTACTGTTATCATACCATGGATTCATCCTATGGTTGAGGTTTGAACAGGGAACTCCTAGATGTTGTCATGCATAGGTTTCAACCTAAAAGTCTATCATCAAATCCTTATCAAAGGAAATGAGAGTCCTAAGGGATCATGTCAATGATACACCAAAACAGACAAAGCATCAGCTTAACAGTAAAATGCATGCAATGCAAGTGAGGGAGGAAATGTGTGTGGGGCTTCAGCCTCCACAAGCTCGTCTCAACCTCAAGCCAGTCATGAAATAACAGTAATCATACTGAAAAATAAACAACATTCTATCAAGCAATAAACAGTAAACTGCAATCATACAGATAAAAATGAAAATGCCATGAGGCAAACAAACCACACAATACAGAAAAGAAAAACAGAAGAAAGCCTCAGCTCCTCCAGCAGCAACTCAGTCTTCAGACTTCAATCATCAACTGCTTTCCAGGTTCCAACCCTACAATATGAGTATCAACTCATCTTCTCTCTTAAGCTTCAGCTTCTTTGATCAGCTCCACCTTCAGGCTTCACTATCTTCATGGATCTTCAAGTATCCACTTGATCTTCACAAAGTCTTCATCTTCAAGGATCTCCAAGGAATCATCCTCTTCAAAGCTTCAGCTTCTATCTTCAATGGCTTTTAGATCTTCAATCAAATCTTTAATACTCTTCATTGCTTTCTTTATCTTCAACAACCCAAATGTTCCAACAAACAAGATTTAATCAACAAGATGAGGTGAGGATGTTAGAGTGCTCACTGACTTCCAAAGGATGCCATTAAGGACTTAACATCAAAAGGAAAGGCTCTCTCAAAGTTCTACCTCATAGGGCAAGGTCACTAATCCCTCCAAAGGAGAGAGGTGAATACCCTTAATGGACTTTTTATCATAGAGAAGGAAGGAGGTGAACAAGACACTCCTTGTTTATTGAATGGAATTATTCTATCTAAAGCTCTACCTATGTACTTATGATCCTATAAACAGAACAAACAAAAGCTAAAACTAAGCTCCTCTTCAAGGTCTTCAAAGTCTTCAATGATGATCCACAAGGTCTTCAACTCAATCTTCAAGGCTCACACACTCAAAGGAGAAGAAAAGAAAGCAAAACAATACAAACTATGCCCTTAAGCAACACACATACTATCCATACATTCAAAAATCAATTAAAAATACTAAAATACTATATAATATTCTAGTAAAATTCTAGGGGGTTCTATACATACCTACCCTTAACCCATATATTCCCCATACTCTAATTTGGCCTATAAAACCCAAAACAAAATTGTTCAAATCTACTTATGCAACCTAAAACCCTAATTTGAGTACACTAAGACTATGCTTAACAAACTAATCAAATTTTAATCTACAAATCATGAATTAAATCCTATATGAACTATGATTCAATATCCAACTATGCCAAAAAGAATGGCTCAAAAATCCTAAGGGAAGACCCTAAAACAAATTCTACAAAATTGAGTATCAAACTAACCATATTAAAAAGGCTATTTAAATGAATAATATTCTAAAAATATTAAAAGAAAAATAAAATGGAATTTTATTTATTAATATTTTTCTAAACAAAATTATGAGCATGTGAAAAAAACAAGCAGTGAAAAATAATCATTTTTGAATTTTATATGGATTTTATAAAATGCAAGAAAATTAAAAGGAATTAAAATCAAAAGAAATTGAATTAAAGGGGATGGGGGTGAGAAAAGCAAACACGCTCATTTGCTTTCTATGATGGGCCCAGGAAGGGGGGTGCGCCTAGCATGGCGCGCCTGGGCCCAATGGCTATCAGAAAATAAAAAGAAAAATTAAAAGAAAATAAACACGCGAGCGGTACGAATAGCAACACATTCTAGTTAAAAATTGGATTGGGCCCATGGTGGGGGTGTGAGTATCACAAACTGCATTCAGCCCAGGATTTCCCACTTACTCAAATGGTGCGTTTAGCTATTTAAAATTCCCTCCGTTTCTGAAATTGAACCGTGGCCGTTGGATGGAATGATTAAGTCAATTAAGCTGGACAGATCCTACGGCTGATGGCCATCGTCCCCAAACACATGCTAGGGTTTTTAGTTTCAACAGATTTCATGCACGAATTTCAGGTCCTTCGTTCTCCCTCCATGCTTTATGAAAATCAAAACTTCCAAGAGCAAAGATGCTCCACTAATCACCAAGGACACGATGGTGCCAATAATTTCCACTGAAACATCTTATATCACTCTAACAGAAAGCATGAATATTAGGGTTCCACCATAATTCTCTGAGATCAATCACGATGAAGCTTAATTCCAATAGTATAGACTTGTTCTACATGTTGTCCTTATCATTCTACACTATAACATAATCACCAAAACTCAATATACAGCTTGTTCTTC